AATGAAAAGATGCAGAGAAGAGCATGAGTAAATCTAAATAAAATTTTTAATAATTCGCATAAGAGAATGTCAAATGTCAAAAAATGGATGGCAGTGTTGTATCTACAGCTAAACTTTATGACTGACAAATAATGAAAATAGAAAAAAGTATTTAAAAACACAAAATACAAATAACGCTTAAAATTTATAATACAAATATAAAAATAAATGAAATAATTAACATCGCTGGGTACGTTAGGGTGGTAGGAACTGTGATCTAAGTGACTAAGTACTAGAGCGGAGTATTTGAGGTCAATGAACTTTGGGAAAAAAATTTCCTCTTCGAGACAATAACAGCGGTATATCCTACTTTAAGATCAGACTGTAAATGCCGAGAAAAAAAAAATATAATAACTGGCCATACTGCTTACACTTTTATTGAAAAATTTCACCTCGGTTATAAAATTAAGTCTTTTAAATTTGAATATTGGCGCATTTATATCATACTGAACAATTTTATTACGCGACATTGAGAAGCGTTTTTCATTGCCACTTTTAAGACTACCTAAAAAATTGTTTTAAACAATGCATTTTCGCCTAATTTTTCATTGGAAGGTTATAATAAGGTTGGTCTATACATACATGTACATACATACATATATAGCTACATAAGCATACAAACATAAATATATCCAGCAATTTGTACGCACATATACAGATTTGTTCTTTTTTGCTAAAATGTTTGCGCTGCATTCGCTAAAATTAAATGATTACAAATGATCAACGCCGCGCGGACCGCGGCGACGCATACTGGAAGCTTTCGGCGCTATCTTCTAAATGGCAAAAGGTGCGAAATATACATATGTATGTATGTATGTATGTGCATTTGTATTTAAGTAGTTGAGGCAACTTCCACGCTGCTGGCACCTGCTTTTCATGAGTACGTGCTGTCGCCCAATGTCGCCTTCACTGCCATTTTCACGCTTTGATTTAGCGTTTCTCTTTGATATTTAAATTCGAATGTAATTTTTTTTTTATTTTACTTTTGAGTTTTCGAAAATCGTTCTTCGGCGTTTGCACGAAAATCATCTGTGCAAATGCAAAAAACTCAACCCAACCAAGAACGGTCTCTTATCTTTGGCCTATTCATCAGTTAAGTGTACACTCGAAGCAGTTGCAAAACGCGAGCGCCGATACACTCAGACCCGCCGAAGAAAGCCGCCAGCCAACGAACAACGAACAGCAGAGTTTTAAATGCGAGCGCGTAATCGCGATACGAAAGCCTGTTCCGATCGAAAATATTTTTAAAATATTATATTTTCAAACAATTTTAAAAACGACAGCAACAGCAACAGCAACAACAAAAGCAAAAAAAAAAATAAAATTGCATAATAAATTGCTATGACTACTTTCACTCTGCGTTGTTGTTGCTGGTATATCATTATGATTGCTGTTGTTGTATTGTCTTGTGTGTTCGCTGTATGCTGAGTGCTGACGGTGGTAGCGACAGTGTTGATGGACGCGAGGGCGCGAGGGCGCGGACGAGGGCGTTTCGACGGTTGGCAGCACGACGGACCTGCACAGCCAAGCGCGTTATTGTTGTTGCTTCTAGCTAGCTAGGGTGTTGCTAGTTGAAGGCATACAATATCAGCGACAGCGACAAAATTTTGTGTGTTGGCCTTTGCCTACATTGAAATATTATATAATTTTTTCAGTTGGAATTTTTCCGAAAATTTTCACTACACTTTCGAAGAGATCAAATATATGTACATATATATATATGCATATCTTTTGGAATATCATAATTTTTGTGTCTTGTGAAAACTTATACTTGTTTTTGAGTTTGATACACACAGTCCTTAATGTCCTTTATGCATGCAACAACAACCACAATAACCACAGTTAAACAATAAAAAAAAACAAAGACAAAAAACAAATTAGGCAAATATCAAAATCGAGGCAATCAATCACCTACCATTAAATGAGACGGCCGACAGGATTAGTCCTATAAGGACTAAAAATGTAAACCGCCCCATGATAAACCGAAAATTCCTTGTTGCTCAGTATTCTTCTCCAGTTGTTGTGTATTTCGTTAGTACTTCAGCCACTTCATAAATTAAAATTATTCACTATTCAAATATGTTAGGTTAAAAATATTATAAGGTACTGCGCCCTCGTATTCTGCATTAATATAAAACTTTAATTTATATTTTTCGTCGTGAAATGCACTGCAAAAAAATGCGAAAAATTTTATTTGCCAAACTAAGATACAGCAACAATAACTGTTTTAAAGTTGAAAGACAGACAATAAACTCGAAAAAATCCGAACACAAAGCACAAATCTAAAATCGTTCATCCGCAGCCGTTTCACGTCGTTCGTTCGTTTTCGTTTAAAAATTCGTTTCGTAAAAATATTTTTGCGCCCGAATAGCACTAAGATATTTGGTTTTAATATTTTCCATTTATTTGTATCGCTTAGCAGGACATCCGTTGTTTGGGTAATCCTTTGCGTCCCTTTCAACGAATGCCAGCTAATCAATATGTGTTTTCTAAAGCAATATATTTGAACAATGTTTTGCTTCACGTATGGTCAAACTTTAAATAAGCACAGAAAAAAAAATAAATTACAAAAAAAAAATAATTATAAAATTTGTAACAAAAAAAAAATTTATTCAGAAAAATATATATATTTTAATACGAGTACGATTATACGAGTCGGTCGATCTCTCCCGGTCCAAAACCAATTCGTAACATAGCAAGGAGATCTCACACTTTTACCTTGTGACCGCGAAAATTTTTGATATTTTCATATCGAAAGTGCAAATAATTTTTCACTGACAAAATTGTAGTGAAATTTTGAGTAGAAACTCATTTTTCTTTCGCCTGGTGCCTTAGAACTGGCATCACAGCCGTTGTGCGATTGCAATTCACTCAAATAAAGACAGTCCGCAGAAGATCTTATGGGAGCTAAAACGCGAGAAGACAATGAAGCTGTGCGGCTAAGTAAGAGAAGCCACTATGCGGCGGTCAAATCAAATTTGCTGATATTTAAATTTTGCTGAAATTTTCAGTTACACATACATATATGTATACATATGCGATTAATGGGTTGTGGTTTGTGGTTTATGATTTCTGATTTATTTTTTGATTTGTGATTTACGATTTATTCAATAACTTATGATTCATTCAATTAATTACATGATTCATGATTTATGATTATTGACTATATAATTTTGGATTTTCTGTTATGAGTATGATTTCTAATTTTTAATTTTGATTAAGATTTATGACTTATTGATTTGGACTTTTAGTTTTAGGTTTATGGTTTATGACTATGATTTGTTATTTATGACTGGTGATTTATGAATTATGCGTTTATGATTTATGATTCAAGATTAATGATTTTTGATTTGTGGTTATGATTTCGATTTTCGGATAGATGAATTATGAGCGGTTGACCTATGATTCTTGATTTGCGGTTTATGATTTAATATGACTTATGATTAATCAATTTATGAGGAATTGATTTATGATTTATGATGTATGAATTATGACTTATGATTTAGCTTTTTTTGGTTATGCTATAATTTAAATTTGCTATGATTTAAAATTCAAGTTAACTATATTAGATTAGAATTAAAAAAAAGTTATAATTTATTATCTTTTTCTCGTAAAATCCACGCGATTGACGACATGTTCTCATCGTACGGAAAATGTTTGTTGAGTCCATGCGACAAGTGATTTCTGCTCAAGTTTTTAAATTTAGAAATTCGCCCGCTCCCACTCGCAAATAAATATCATTTAAAATTACTCATTTATTCGAGCTACTCAACCACTTTTAATTATTTTGACGTGCGGCTGTAGAATGGATCAAACTCAAAAGAAAAATTATGCAGGCAAATAATTAAAAGAAAAGCACTTATAGATTCCTTGGCGAAAAAACAGAAGCACGGCAAAGAGAAATAGAGAAACTGAAAATAATATACAGTACATACAAATACATATCTGCTGTCTGTGGGCGAAAAAGACACAGCGCTGAAAGCAGTACACGAACATTGTTAAATAGAAAGTGTGCAAAAAAAAAAAATTATACTATCCGAATGCAGATTTGTGTGTCTCGTATGTACACCTATACAAGCTGTGCCAGCGATGTGTTGAATGCCACATTTTATTAAACTTTATGCCGCACGCATGTCTAACGCACTTTGGTTAGAGGAATTTTTATGCGCTAAAAGGTCGCAATTTAGAATACATGTCGTCACGCTGAAATGCAAAAGGCCGTAACAAATAAAAAAATTCACAATTTACTTTTTGATTGCACTTTTGAATGCATTGCTTCGAATTATAAGTCCCCACATCGTTTAGGTAAAAAACAAAAATTGTTAGTTATGGCTTTTTGCTTCAGGTGACGGCATATCTTTTTTTTTAATAAGAATTTCCAAATCCTTTTTTTATAGTCAATGACAAAAGATTTTTAATATTTCATTACCAACTGCTACTAAGCTTGTTCCGGTCTGGTAGTAAACTCGATTTGTATGAAAGATGCTAATCTTCTTAACTCTGTTTGCGCATGTTTATTTATTTTAATGTTTTTTTTTTTTTAATGCGAGAGACAAGCGCTAGTCATAAGCATAAACCAAGGTAGAAAATTGCACTATTTACCTAGGCGTCGCCGCTGTATTGGGGCTGCTGCTGCTGTGGCTGCTGCGGGAAACGCATGAATGAAAATTCAATGAAAACGTGTAGGTTGTGGAGAAATGTTGGCAGTTTGTCTTTTTCATTGACTCACACAAGAATGAGTAAGAGACAAAAATAAAAGCTAATGGACAATTTGAAGAGCTTATAGATTAAAATTTTCAAAAGCCCAAGGTTCCTTGAGTGTGATGAATTATAAAGACCCATTGGAGGCCGAAACACTAAACTTAATATAAGAAAACTAACTTTACGCGCTTAAATAAAATAAAGTTTCCGGTTTTTAAATATTTAATATTTATTATAAAAAAAATCATATAAAACCATACACTCAATCGACTTAAATAGAAGAAACACAGTATATTCGAATTCTTAACTTATAAACTCTATTAAACTACAAAGTAAATACTTTTTTTCTGTACTTGATTCCATTAAATAAATCAAAAATTATTTTGTCTCGTTGGTCAATGCCTTCTTCTTTGTTTTGGTGCAGTAATAACGGTCACTGTTCTCAATCCAATCGCAGACATTCAAAATTGTATGGAAAGCTGTGCCCTCCTTGCACTCAAATTCGACTGGCTCGCCATGCACGCAGCGATAGTACTGCAAATATATGAGTAAGTATTCAATTAGGCAAACTACTTGGATGTTGGCAGGAGGAAAATGAATTTCGTTAAGTTTTTTCATAATATTTCAATTTGTGTTTAATGCATTTTTATTGTGATATTCGAAAATAACGGCTGCTATTCGAATTATTTTAATGAAATGCTCCTTTTTAGACCGTTAATATAACCGATTCGTGGCTCGCCGATAGAAAAATGTATCATACATTTAATTCTACAAATGCCTTACCTTTTGACAGTTTGCATGCGGTATAAAATCCTTATTCGTACAGTCAATGTCGGGCACTTGATTTGCGCCTGTTGTGCTAATGACCTCTGGCTTGGGCTCGAAAATCTCCAATTCACCAGCTTCATTGCTGGTCGTAGTTGATATTTCGGTTGTTGTTGCAGTAGCAACGGTTGGCTTTGGCTTTGGTCGTGGTTTGGGTTTCTTAGAGCCCTTTGAGGGTTTCTGAAATACAAAAATTAGTACCATTAGTTATGTAGCTTTGAATAAAGGAAGCTCTGTGAATACCGCCCTATAAACAATTGTAAAATGGACAAAGAAATTCCTCACTCATATAAAATTTGGTGGATCCGGGCGGTAGAAGGGAACATCTTATAATAGCAAGCCCATAGCACTCTTTGTTTTGCAGTTTCTGACTCCGGAATATCCGCATATTAAAAAAAACAAAACCGGATACAACCCCCAGCCCAGTTGCTAAGAATAAATTTTTACCGCTGACGTTATCATTATCGAAATGGGTGTCGATAGCGATATGGTTTCGAATTTGGCTTTATATTTTTTTATTTTCCTATTTTATCCCTCTCAGTTTTCCCTGGATCACTCTTCTAAATACATATATAAATTTGTAAATGTATAAATTTTATTCGACTCCCTTCAAACTACGAGTATTTAGTAATTTACTTTTTTTTTGTTCACTCATCGTACTTTCAGCGCTGCTGACATTTTTAGCCTACTCTATAGTTTCTGTGCCTTAATTTTCTATTTTTGCGGAAGCTATTCTGCAAACACAAGCAGGCCGACTAAAAATAGGGAAATGTATTTGGCTTAGCATGGCCCAGTGGAACAATGCTATGCGCACACCTCTATATGCGTACAATTAAATGTGAATGTATTTATGTACATTAGGGTGATCCTTAGTTGTTGGAAGCTGATACTATAGTCGAAGGAATCACATTTAAATTCCGGCCCCAATTGGAGTCGGTTAAGGAATGTCGCACAGGTGTCAAAGTTCAAATTATATGAAAACGTCTTAACCGACTGCAATCGGGACCAAAATTTATATGTGATATCTTCGACTTTAGAAGTATCGATTTTGGGTATTAAATAAACAAAAAATTTTGAATTTTTTGAGACTCCATAGAGGCATGTGGCCTTTAACCCCTTAGCCACACGCCTTAACCGAGTCCAATCGGGAACAAAATTTATACGTGATATTTTCAACTATGGTAGTATCGATTTTGGGTATTAGATGAAAAAAAAATTAATATTAATTTTTTGAGTCTCAATACAGGAATCTGAACTTTGAACCCTGTGCAACACGCCTTAACCGTCCTCAGCCGGGACCAGAAGTGATATGTGATATCTGTGACCATTGTATTACCGATTGAGGGGATGAGACTGAAGAAAATCGTTAATTTGATTTTTTAAGGACTACCCTAATGCACATATTTACGTATACGTATGTATGTATTTACATACATTTGTTTCTGTGNAAGAAAATCGTTAATTTGATTTTTTAAGGACTACCCTAATGCACATATTTACGTATACGTATGTATGTATTTACATACATTTGTTTCTATGCGCGAATTCCCAAATCTAACAAACAACTCAGCAAACCATTTGACAATTAGCTGCGATACGAAAATCGTCTCAAATATTTTTGCATTAATCTTAATTATTTTACTGAATGTATTTAAGTGCATACCTAAATAAAAACATACCACTCACCTTGGTCGTTGTGGTTTCGTTGGCAAGTGGCCGTTTTGTCGACGTTGTCGTCGTCGGTGTTGTTGTTGTTTGTGTTGTGCTCGGGTGCGGCCTCTTCGTTGTGACATCTTGTGACATTAAGCTGGCCTCATCGGGATTCGGCGGCGTCGCTGGCGGTTTAGCCCACTCGGGCTACAAGAAATATGCACATAAACAAGAAGCATAATAAATTACAGATGCTTTGCAAATTAATAATAAAATAAAATAGTGCTGCAGTTTTGGCATTGGCTCTTGACAATATTCGTGTAGCCAAAAATTGCTTACGCAAAATATAAAAGTCAAAGCATAGCCAATCCGCTAATCATTTGCACTCGCCAAACTTGACACACTTACCCGCGGTGTCGTCTCGCGCGTCGGCTCTGGCACCGTGTAATCGTGCATATTGTCGTAGAGAATTTGCATCAGCGCATTCTCGCTGCCACACAAACCATGGAAATCATCCATGTCGATGGCCCAGGTCATAGCGCCAGCATAGCCCCTTTGCTTGATGAAGTCCATTTTGATTTGTACCGACTTCTCGTTCTCATAGCCCACCCATTGTGTGTCCTTGTAGGTGTAGGGCACCATACCTTGGTCATCCCACTGGACAGTCCAACCGTTCGCTGCGTCTTGTACTTCTGTACAGATCTCATAGTAGGCGAGGAATCCACTAGCGTTAGTGTAAGGACCTGGCGATCCACCACCTGCCTCTTTGTTGATATAAGTGCCCATATTATAGTTCTTGTTGGAGCTACTGAGTGTGTAGGTACGGCCATAGAATGGCACGCCAACAACTAATTTGTTTGCGGGACAACCCATTTCTTCCCACAATGCAAGGCCGTCATTCTGTAGAGTGATAGAGAAAAGTATTAAAGTGACGTCTTAACGCCATCCTAATTTAGGCTACACATACCACATTTAGTTTCTCATAAGCCCACTGGTCGTGTTTGCGTTTATAAAGCGGACTATGCACATCCGCAAATCCGGCCCAATTGCCGCGCAAGTCATAGGTCATCGCATGTATAGCATCTAGCTGCCTGTAGTCGAAAGTTTCTTATTACAAAATTACGCCCTCAACAAAGTTTACCAATACGCTGTACTTACTCGCACAACTCGGGTACATGATAGCCCTCTTGAAGTCTGAATTTCGCCACCGGTACAGCCATTGTTATTTCCCAACCGCGCCCCTCACGATCGAACGCTCGTCGCAGCTCCTCCACAAAATATAAAAACTTGTCCTTATCACCGAAAGTGCCACCACGATCCGTGGCACCTGGGTACTCCCAGTCCAAGTCGAAACCATCAAAGTTGTATTCCTTCATGAACTGTACAACGCTGCGTATGAAACTCAGCCGCCGCTCACGCACCGCTACCATTTGTGAGTATTTCGAACCACCCTCAGCCCAACCTCCAACAGCCACCATAAGCTTCAGCTGTGGATGCTGCTGTTTCAGTTGCGTGAATTTTCGAAAGCCTCCTTGTTCTACATC